TGCCGGAGCTGGTGGTATTGCGCAACGTATAGTTTTGAGGGGACATAGCGGCCAAATTCAGACATAGCAACTCCTTTTAGTGCTGTCAAAAGTGGCTTTAAAGTCGACAAATAGGTGGTGAGTGTCGATCCTTTTCTCGCGGGTCTTTTCCAAGATTTGGCGTATTGTGAATACCTGGTCTATGGTTTCACAGTATATTAACAGATATATGAGTAACAATTCCCTGAAATTTCAGCCTCATAACTTCATTACTTTTTGGTCTAGAGCAAGTCAAAGTTGAGGTATGCCAACGCGCTTGAAATATTTTAGTTCAATATGTAATAATCAAAAGCTTATTAAAATAAAAATACATAATAAATGTAACTTTAAAGTATTTTTTTAATTAATTTAGTTATTGTAGAATGAGTAAATGAAAAAATAAATTTAAAAAAAAACAAAATTTTTTTTCTTAACAACAGAATTGTGGTGCAAAAATTGAACATTTTGCATTTTCAATGGCCTAGGAAATATAGAGCAGCCCCTCGCCCTAGGTGCAGACTTATACCAAATGAAAGTTTGAAGTCTCAGCTTTAATTTAAAGTAGAGGACATATAGCAAAAGTTTGCAAAAGCACATTAAACATACAAAAAACTACAAAAAGTACGTAACGCGCACATTCTGTCGCTATACGTATGTTAGCATGCAATAGCATGTTTACAACTTTTTACTTTTATTTTTTTTAATTGTTTACTATTCACTTATTGTGCAAGAGAATAGTAATAAATTACATTTGTTTTTTGTTAGTTATTCAGAATTATGCTTTAAAGATCATTTATGTTTTAATAAAAATATTCTTGTTTACATAAATTTTATTTACGTTATTAATTTGATAGATAATTTTGTTGAAGGTCATTGACTTTGGGTTAGATAGTTGCATAATTTTTAATTTAAATTGATAGTGCAAGATATTAGCAGCAGATGTTATTAACAATGAAGTAAATCGTGTAAATGCAGAAATTCAAAATTTAAAAACGACAGAATTCGAAATGTTCAACAAAAAGTTTGCGATATCTCATAGTTTAACTATGACGATGATTGACGGAAAAGTGGCAACAACAGTCAGTAAGAATTGCTCGATGGCTGTTTGTTTCATATGTGGAGCAAAACCTACTGAAATGAATAATTTGGATGCAGTTATTTTGAGAACAAATTCAGCTGAAGCATTGAAATTTGGAATTTCGCCGCTACATGCTCGAATAAAATTCATGGAATGTATATTACATCTCGGTTATAATAAAAGTTTCAAAGCGTGGAGGACAAATAAAGATACAAAAGAACAGAAAGAAGCTGTTAAAACAGAAATGAAAAAAAATTTCAAATTAGTTCTGGGCTTAAAAGTCGATGTGGTGAAACAAGGCATGGGAACAACCAGAAGAAGATTTTTTGAACATCCAGAAATAACCGCTGACATAACTGGTGTAAATGTAGACTTAATTCACCGCTTTAAAATTATATTAAATACTATAAATAGTAGTAAAAATATAGATGTTGGTAAATTCCATACGTATTGCATGGACACTGCAAAATTATATGTAGAGCTTTATGGCTGGTACTACATGCCCATCACTGTGCATAAAGTTCTCATTCACGGCAGCAAAATGGTATCTGAGGCTATATTGCCAATAGGTTTGTTTGCAATTTTTATTTTTGAAAGTATTTTTTTAAACTTTATTTAATATTAACTTTTTTTTTTGCTACAGGAATGTTATCCGAAGAAGCGCAAGAAGCAATGAATAAGGAGTATAGAAACTGTAGGCTATTCCATTCTCGTAAAAATTCACGTATTTCTACGAATGAAGATGTAATGCCCTATTTGCAAATATCATCAGATCCTTATATTAATTCATTTAGAATGAGAAACAAATTAAAAAAATTAGAATACCATGATGATGTTAAAAAATTATTGATTGAATGAAAAAAAAATATTGTTTTTTTTTTTATTGCATTTCAATGGGAGGTGGGCGTATTAGTGGGCGTGTTATTGTAATTTTTGCATGAAACATTTTAAATGATATAAATTACAGTAATATCGAATTTGAAGGTTGTATTTAATATATTTTAGAAAATATGGCACTTTTTATGTTGAGGTAGTATGGGTGATGGGGTTAAAAGTGGGCCAAAGTTCAATTTTTATTTCAAATAATGTTTGTAACTATATAACATTCAAGTATACGAAAATTGAAAGTTATACCTAAAGTATTACGGACAATACGGCATTTTACAAATTTCGACTGTATGGCAGGTGGGCGTAAAAGTGGGCGAATTTTCTTAATTTTTTTTTTAAAAACTGGAATTGTCTCAAAAATAACCTGTGCAAAATTTCAGAGCTCTACAATGACTCCTTGTATTTAATGCCGGCGTTGTCTCACTGTGTGCCGTCGCCTGCTGAGTGCATATGCATGTATTTATGTATACATATAGTTACATACATATGTTCTGGAAGCACTTGAATATTGTTGCGCACAAATTCTTTTGCGCTGATTTACCATGCCAAAATATTCTTTGAACTTTTATTATTAGTATTTTGGAATGCAAAAAGGAAAAAGGAAACCGAATGATGTAGTTCTACATTCTATCCTCATAACTATTTGAATTTTCCACTGATACAAAAAAATAACAACCACAACTAAGCCATTTGCCTCTCCACAAAAACGCATCACTGCTGCTTTGGAATGTGTGTATGTATGTATGCGCATAGATTAGGGTGGAGCGAAAAAAAAAAATGAATTTTACGTTTTCAAAATTCGAATAGTACGGAAAAGTTGCGTAACGTGATCACATTGAATGGATTTTTTAGCAACTTGAAACTGGCATTTTATTATACTTAAGTGTAATGAGCTACAGAACTGCACAACCAAAATGTTTCAAGGAATCATTAAAAAAAGATATAAAACAACCACAATTTGGGAGATTTTTCTAAACAACAAGGCTCTTGTGGCGACCGTGAATATTATCCGATCAGAAAATGATTTCAAACGGTTCAGTATGATCATATTACGCAACTTTTCCGTACTAATAGAAGTTAAAAATCGAAAAATAGATTTTTTTCGCTCCACCTTAATGCAGTATAGTTTTCACATTTATTGCTGCATTGCTTTTGCACATTTGTACATAAGCAACTAGCTAACACTAGCACACTGGTTGGTTTATTGCAAAAAACAACGACACATTGCCACTCATTTTTGAGCATTCCCCGATTTCGACGATGAAATTCCCCGATTTTGCCAGAAATTTCGTAAAATTCCCCACCCATTCAGCTATGTATGTATTCAGAGATTAAACCAAACTTTTATAAAGTTAGTTAACAAATAAAGAAAAAAAAATTACATATAATGCTTACACACATATAGTGGTCGAAAAAATTTTAGTCGCGCCAAATTTTGACAAGTTTTCACAATTATCTTTTTTTGTTATTAATTTGATTTACATTTTTTTTTATAAAAATATAGTTAATTCATTAACAGGCATTGTGTAATTTTAATTCGATTTTCTAGAAAGATTTTGAGTATGCAGTTTTGTAGCCCACTCAATTCTATTAATGCAAGTCTAAAGTGGCTAAAAATTTTTGTTTTAAACTTTTTTTTTTTTAAGGTGTTTCGGTTTTCATCCACATAAAAAAGTGTGTTTATTCGTTATGTTAACACAAATCCGACAAGAAAAATTCTAAATCAACGGTTATTTGTATAATTTGCAGGATTGCATAATCAGTACTTTAGTTGCAGTTGCATTTTTTACCTCATTATAAAATCGGTGAAGCCAGAAAGAATAAACTAGTTAACACCTAATTCCTCACAAAAAGCAGTCAGTCTCTCGATTGTGCACGTAAACTGAAATTCCCCACAAAAAACGGCCCATTCCCCATGCAAACTCAAATTCCTCGCAAATCGGGGAATTCCCCACGAGATGGTTTCCCTGGTTGGCATGAAATATACGCTTTTTTGAGCTTTTATTTTTTATCCTTTTTTTTACTCCCTGTGCTTTCGCTCTCCAATACGCTCCGCTTGCCCTGCGCTACGCTTCTTTTACTACCTTTGTGGCATTGCAGTCATATATAGCATACACATGTGTGCCATTTTGGTGCTTTTGGAGCTAGATTTAGCTCTTTAGTTTTCTATTCAGCTCCGAAAATTGGGATTAATCTCATAGCTCTTTAAAAAAAATTATTTAGCACTTTCTTAGCTCCAGAAAGTTTTAGTTGTATTTGGCAATATATTAAAATTAACAAGTAAGAGCAGCGCTGTCTTCGGCTATGCCGAAGGCTTCATAACTTTCATGAACGTCTGCAAATTTTTGTTTGACAGATTACTGATTTTGAATACATCTGCATACATCGATAGAGGAGTTACATACTTATATAAAAAATCGCATCTAAACAATCAGAGGTATGGAAGATATACTTTATATGGCACCAATCGAAGTGATTTTCACTGCTATGAGATCGGTATGTAAACCGGTAACACAATTTATTGGGTTTAGTTTCCTACATAAAGGAGATATATCGCAAAAACTGGTATCTGAACAATCAGTGCTATAGGTGATAAAGCATACAGATACAGCATAGATTTTGACGATTTTCTAAGTAGACTTAGTATTATTATTTATAAAATATCTTACGAAATTTATCGGTTTTAGCTGTTCAAATAAAGGGGTTTTACAGTAAAATCCCATATCTGAACAATCAGATGTATGGAAGATATATGTTGTAGTCACCCGATCCTAGTTATTTTCACTGTAAGTATTCTGTTAATAATGAGTGAAAATGGTGCGAAATTTCATGGTCCTTGCTACATAAATGGATGAATTATAACGAAAAATCTCATATCTGAACAATCAGCTGTTTGGGAGCTATAGGTTATAGTTATCCGATCTTTTTAATTTTCACTGTAAGTTTTCTGTTGATAATTATTGAAAACAGTGCGGAATTTCCTGTTCCCAGCTATATAAATGGAGGAGTTATAACGAAAAATTTTATATCTGAACAATCAGTTGTATGGGAGCTATAGGTTATAGTGAACCGATCTTTGTAATTTTCACTGTAAGCATTCTGTTTATAATGGGTGCAAGTGCTGCAAAATTTCATGTTCGTAGCTGCATAAATGGAGAAATTAGAACGAAAAATCTCATATCTGAACAATCAGTTGTATGGGAGCTATACGTTATAGTGGTCCGATTCTTCCGGTTCCGACAAATGATTAATACATTATAAAAATACACCCACGTACCAAATTTGATCAGGATATCTCGAAAACTGAGAGACTAGATTGCATACAAACAGACGGACAGACGGACAGACGGACATGGTTAAATCAACTCAGCTCGACGTTCTGATCATATAAGTATGCATTTTAATGGGTCTATCTCTTTTTGTTCTGGTACTTACAAACATCGGACCAAAGTTATAATACCATTTCATGCTCATGAAAGGTATAAAAATCTGTAATTTCATTGTACAAGTGTTGAATAAAATTCCTTTGGCTTTGGTGATCTCAGGCTATTTTCGATACCTTTATGTTATTCTATTTCGATTAATACTTAAAAAAGTTGCATTCCTAATGCAAATGGCGCTTAAGCTAATTAAAAATGGGCAAGCAGGTCATTTAGTTTCTATCACGTGCGCGGGAGTACACAAACCATACAGGGCAGTAATTCGAGCTCCGATAAGCTCAGACGGTGTATTTTCTCTCAGGCGGCCATGGTGGAAGAGGAAAGCCAAAACTTAAGCGTTGATAGACTTACAAATTTCGAAAGGCAGTGGAAAAACATACATTTGTATTCACGGGAAAATGCAGACTCCACTATGAACTCTTAAATCTAGTTTAATATAAAATGTAAAAGCAACTTTATGTCAACGAATGCTCAACTTAAAAAAAAAATAGCTCTTCATTTTAGCTACTATTAGCATTATTTAGCTCTTTTAAGTTTTTCTTTTTCGCCCGATTTGGCTCCAAACGAAATTTTTTCTGGCAACACTGGTGCCATGAATGCGCATGAGATAGTTTTGTGCAGCTACACACACACACACACACACAAGCTCATATCGAGAAGTTTTCGTGAAATTCCTCAATGCACTGGATTTGCAGTTTTATTACTTGCAACAGCTGGCTCGTTTTTGGTGCTGTTCTATCTAGGTTTTACGAGCGTGTTGCTGATGCTCTACCCTAATTTGACTAAGGGCTTCCACACACATTTTCCACGTCATATGGGGTGTGTGTGTGTGTGTGTGTGTGTGTGTGCGAAGGAATCACTCTTTTTGTTTTACAAAAGTTTGTGTCGGTTTGCATTTTATTATACCGTTTCTTATGCACTCTTTTCCAATGCTATGCATGTAAATGTTTTTTGCTATTTTTCGCCCAATGCATTACTGCATGCTTTATTGCAATTTGTCAAGCTTAAAATTACATTTGCGTTGCTCCTCAACTCAGCTCAGCTTTACGCTCGACAACTGCCTTAGTTTGCATGGCGATTGCTGCTTTACAAAGTTGCCAATTCGGCGGTTACGTTTTAATGGCAATTTGTACGAGACAGTGTCTTAGTCTGAAAATTTATGAGGGGGAATACGTATGTACAGGGGCGCACCCAAGAATATATTTTAAAGGGGGGGGGAGGGGGGTTATATTTCTGAAGATATATCACCGGAAAATACTGAAAATTTGCTTCAGATAATACCCTCTTTAAAATACATTTATGCAAGTTTTATGTACAGTATGTAATAAATAAATAAACGTTTTAAAATTCATAAACTGCACTTTATTTACATAAGATTAACAGAACTCAAACGCTTTTAACCGACTTCAAAAAAAAGGGAGGTTATCATCTCGCCGGAATACATAACTTTGGACCACGTGAACCGTTTTCAATAATCCTTTTTTTATTAGAAAGATAGTAGTTCAAGGAGAAATGGAAAAGAAATTTTAT